TAAGATTGTCTTGGCTATGTGAGCTTTTTTTTTTTTTTTGGTTCCCTATGAAATTTAAAGTAGTTTTTTCCAATTCTGTGAAGAAAGTCAATGGTAGCTTGATGGGGATAGCATTGAATCTCTGCATTACTTTTGTTATTATGCCTATTTTCACCATATTGATTCTTTCTATCCACGAGTATGAAATGTTATTCCATTTGTTTGTGTTCTCTCTTATTTCCTTGAGCAGTGGTTTGTGGTTTTCCTTGAAGAGGTCCTTTGCATCCTTTGTAAGTTGTATTCCTAGATATTTTATTATTTGTAGCAATTGTGAATGGGGGTTCACACATGATTTGGCTCTCTGTCTGTTATTGGTGTATAGAAATGCTTGTGATTTTTGCACATTGTTTTTGTATCCTGAGACTTTGCTGAAGTTGCGTATCAGCTTAAAGAGATTTTGGGCTGAGATGACGGGGTCTTCTGAATACACAATCATGTCATCTGCAAACAGAGACAATTTGACTTCCTTTCTTCCTAATTGAATATCTTTTGTTTCTTTTTCTTGTCTGATTACCCTTGGTAGAACTTCCAATACCATGTTGAATAGGATTGGTGAGAGAGGGCATCCTTATGACAGTTCACAAATGGAATGCTTCCAGTTTTTGTCTATTCAGTATGATATTGGCTGTGGGTTTGTCATAAATAGTTTTTATTAATTTGATATACATTCCATCAATACCTAGTTTATTGAGACTTTTTAGCATGAAGGGCTGCTGAATTTAGTCAAAGGACTTTTTGCATCTATTGAGATTATCATGTAGTTTTTGTCATTGGTTCTCTTTATGTGATGGATTATGTTTATTGATTTGCATATGTTGAACAAGCTTTGCATCCCAGGGATGAAGTTGACTTGACGGTGGTGGATAAGCTTCTTGATGTGCTGCTGGATTTGGTTTGTCAGTATTTTATTGAGGATTTTCTCATAGATGTTCATCATGGATATTGGCCTAAAATTTTCTTTTTTTGTTGTGTCTCTGCCAGATTTTGGCATCAGGATGATGCTGGCCTCATAAAATGAGTTAGGGAGGATTCCCTCTTTTTTTATTGTTTGGAATAGTTTCCTAAGGAATGTTACCAGCTCCTCTTTGTACCTCTCATAGAATTCTGCTGTGAAGTCTTCTGGTCCTGAACTTTTTTTGGTTGCTAGGCTATTAATTTCTGCCTCAATTTCAGAACTTGTTATTGGCATATTCAGGGATTTGACTTCTTCCTGGTTCAGTCTCGGGAGGGTATGTGTCCAGGAATTTACTCATTTCTTCAAGATTTTCTAATTTATGTGCATAGAGGTGTTTATAGTATTCTCTGATGGTAGTTTGTATTTCTGTGGGATCTGTGGTGTTATCCCCTTTATCATTTTTTTTATTGCATCTATTTGATTCTTTTCTCCTTTATTAGTCTGGCTAGGAGTCTATCTATTTTGTTGCTCTTTTCAGAAAACCAGCTCTTGAATTCATTAATTTTTTTGGAGAGTTTTTCATGTCTGTCTCCAGTTCTGCTCTGATCTTAGTTATTTCTTGTCTTCTGCTAGCTTTTGAATTAGTTTGGTCTTGCTTCTCTAGTTCTTTTAGTAGTGATGTTAGGGTGTCGATTTTAGATCTTTCCTGCTTTCCCTTGTGGGCATTTAGTGCTATAAGTTTCCCTCTACACACTGCTTTAAATGTGTCCCAGAAATTCTGGTATGTTGTGTCTTTGTTCTCATTGATTTCAAAAAACCTCTTTACATCTGCCTTAATTTTGTTTTTACCCAGTAGTCATTCAGGAGCAGGTTGTTCAGTTTCCATGTAGTTGTGCAGTTTTGCATGAGTTTCTGAATACTGAGTTCTAATTTGTTTACACTGTGGTCTAAGAGACTGTTTGTTATTATTTCTGTTCTTTTACATTTGCTGAGGAGTGTTTTACTTCCAATTTTATGGTCAATTTTTGAATGAGTGAGATATGGTGTTGAGAAGAATGTATATTTTGTTGATTTGGGATGGAGAGCTCTGTAGATGTCTTAATAGATGTCTGGTCCACTTGGTCCAGAGCTGAGTTCAAGTCCTGGATAACCTAGTTAATTTTTTGTCTCATTGATCTGTCTAATATTGACAATGGGGTGTTAAAGTCTTCCACCATTATTGTGTGGGAGTCTAAGATTTTTTGTGGGTCTCTAAGAATTTGCTTTATGAATCTGGATGCTCCTGTATTGGGTGCATGTATATTTAGGATAGTTAGCTCTACTTGTTGCATTGATTCCTTTACCATTAAATGTCTCTTAAAGAGACAAGGCCCTTCCTTGTCTCTTTTGATGTTTGCTGGTTTAAAATCTGCTTTAATAGAGACTTTAAATTCAGAATTCCAACTCCTGCTTTCTTTTGTTTGTTTGTTTTCCATTTGCTTGGTAAATATTCCTCCATCCCTTTATTTTGAGCCTATGTATGACTTTGCACTTGAGATGGGTTTCCTAAATACACAGCCGGACGGGTCTTGACTCTTTCTTCAATTTGCCATTCTGTATCTTTTAACTGGGTCATTTAGTCCATTTACATCGCAGGTTAATATTTTTATGTGTAAATTTAATCCTGTCATGATACTAGCTGGTTAATTATATATATATATATATATGTGTGTGTGTGTGTGTGTGTGTGTGTGTGTGTGTGTGTGTGTGTAGCATTTTAGGTTTTGGGGTACATGTGAAGAACATGTAAGATTGTTGCATAGGTACATACATGGCAATGTGGTTTGCTGCTTTCATCCCCATCACCTATGTCTGGCATTTCTCCCCGTGTTATCCCTCCCCAACTCCCCACCCCATGCTGTTCCTCCCCTAATTCCCCCCCTACAGACCTCAGTGTGTGATGCTCCCCTCCCTGTGTCCATGTGTTCTCATTGTTCAACACCCACCTATGAGTAAGAACATACAGTGTTTGATGTTCTGTTCTTGTGTCAGTTTGCTAAGAATGATGGTTTCCAGGTTCATCCATGTCCCTAAAAGGACCCAAACTCATTGTTTTTTTTATGGCTGCATAGTATTCCATGGTGTATATGTGCCACATTTTCCCTGTCCAGTCTATCATCAATGGGCATTTGGGTTGGCTAACTGGTTATTTTTCCTGTTAGTTGATTTAGCTTCTTCTTAGCATCAATGGTCTTTACAATTTTGTACATTTTTGGAGTGACTGGTACTGGTTGTTCTCTTCCATGTTTAGTGCTTCCTTCAGGAGCTCTTGTAAGGCAGGCCTGGCTGTGACAAAATCTCTCAGCATTTCCTTGTCTGTCAAGGATTTTATTTCTCCTTTGCTTATGAAGCTTAGTTTGGCTGCATATAAAATTCTGAGTTGAAAATTCTTTTAAGAATGTTGAATATTGGCCAAAACAGTGGTTCTTAATACTCAGTGCCCATCAGAAATCTAGAAAACTTAAAAAAAAAAAAAAAAAAAAAAAAGGCACAAGTCCCACCACACACCACATACTAGTTTCTGGGATGGAGCCATGATTGAGAACCACTTGACTAAAGTCTACTTTATTTAAACCAATATTAATTTAAATCAACCATTGATTTTAATGATTTTATGACAAGACTATAAAATGTCTTGTCCCAATGTATTTGCAGAAAATATTTTTAGTAGGGACTTTCAAACTTCCTATTAATCAAACTTATATTTGATTAATAGATAATTAGGAATGGACCTAAAAAATACAATAATAAATTTGACTAGATTTTGTAATGTCAAATTAAAAAGAAATAATTGCATAGGGAAATTTAATGCCTCTATAAAGTAAATTAAAACAAAAATACCATTGTATTATTATTTTTTCTTTACAGGAACTTTAGGATTATGGGTATACAAAGTAATAATGTGACTCCATCATTCTCAGTTATTTTTTATACTACACTACTTTCTCAATCTGTCATGTCTCCTTAAAACTTGGATAGTTAATATGCTCATTAGTAAGATGACTCAGGTAAGTTTCAGCATATACCTTTGTATCACCTTTGTGATTCAGGGCTTTAGTCATTCTATTTCAGTAAATATTTAATTCATAAGAGAGCGTAAAAGACCCATCGGTCTTATTGAGTTTCATCTTATCGAATGTCATAGTTTCAGCATGTTGCACCTGTAATTTATCTGTTGGGGGAGCATAGCTTATAAAGTATTCTGCTTTATAAATAAATGGCTCTTAACCAATTGATGTCAGTAAAAGATGTATTTGTATGACTTACTCCCTTGTAGGGTTCACTTTTAAGTAATGTAGTTCACTTATTGTTGAAATAGAAAACTTCCTTCTTTCTTAGTCTTGTTTCCACTTGAGCTTATTTTTCTTTTCCTTTGTTTTTAATTGCATTCATTGGAGAGGAGCCACTATCATTTCATATTATGTACTATTTCAAATATTGAAGAGAATTATAAGCATTGTAAACATAGGTAATTGAAGTTTGCAGCTATTTTTTGACTTCTTGAAAGGGATGTGTTTGTAGAGAACATCATAATTGGGAACAGTTTTTTCATGATTGCTAAGTATTGTCTCCTCCCTTGAGAGTTTCAGCAGTGTGTTTGCTACATTACTTCAGTCGGGTTTTGTAGCAAATAACAGGAATAAGCTGAGAGAGTCACCTTCATCTCAGGGTTATTAATAAAAACATGAAAATTGACCTTATCTGGGATGCTTTTACTTCAGCTGAAGGTGAGGTGAAAGATACTGAAAAGAATATACATCCCTAGAAATCATGTTAGAGGAAGTATCTTTTAATAAGCCATTCACTATGAACCCCAAAAGAGAACTGATCTTTTTGGGGTAATTAAAGAATGGCCTACAAAGGACTTTCAACTTCCTGAACAAAATGTATGTGCTAATTTTAGGGGATCTTCTTCCTATATTCATGCTTGACAAGATGGTCATAGCATTCTGTTAATACAAAAATGATGGTTTTGAGGTCTATTTCTTTCTCCTAATTTCTTTTGTTGATAATGTATGTTTTCCAGTCCTGCAACTTGAGACCCTATGAGTGTGGAGGCCATAGTCCAGAACAGCCATCAGCTTTATTTACACCTTTTCGAGTCAACCACTTCTTTCAACTCCCAAAATTATTAACTAAGTGCCTAGACATAGAAGGATGTGAAACCTTATATTTTAACTTAATAAAATCAAATGAAATATAAATGAATCTAACGGAAACAAATAAATTTAACTTCTTCCACAAACACAGGTTTTTAAATCCAGAAAGACCTGGAGTTTATTCCTTATTCTAACACTAAATATCTGTGCAGTGGTGGACACATTGATTAATCTCAATGCCTCAGTTTCCTAATGTTTAACGGTGAGATAATGCTCCATTGCTCTCTTGTGAGTGTTGTGATAAATGAGATCACTTACTTAAAGTCTCTGTACCCAGTGGGCATGAAGTGCTGTGCTGAGAAATGTTACCCTTTGTCTCTACACTCTTCCCATCTCTGTCTACCCCGCTTGTTCTTCCTTATCCCATTTTTCTTTACAAGTGCCTTCTTGAATATTGCTAAAATACGGGAGTTCTCCTGGTCTTTGAGGCCTTAGGAAAAAAGTCTCAGGATTAACATTTGGTTTCTAAAAGGCTTAAACTGTCTCTCAGTGACAGTAGGCTAGAAGGTTTGGAAATCTTGCCAGAGCCCTAGTGATAGCATCAGGGAATCTAGGAGCAGCTAAGCTTAGAGTTGGGGTTAGTGCACATCTGGGGCCCTAGAGAGCAGCACTCAGCACTCAGCACTCAGTTGGTGGACTAGTGAGTATCTAACTCCTGAATGCCCACAGCTTTTATTAACAAGTTAGGATATCCTGTAATTAATGTGTCAAGAGCCCCACCTCGGGAGGTGAGTTGGGAAAATCCATCATGAATAGAAATATGTGGTCGTCATTTTCATAGTCAAAAGTGAACCTCTTTTGCATGTCTACTATGGCAGAGTACCATGCTAAACAAAGGGAGAAATACATTTGAAATCAATGAGGACTTACTATGGGCTAAGAGTAACAATAAGCATCCTATATGGGGAACCTTAATTCCCACAACAACCAAATCAGATAAATGAATCCAGAGCATAGGAATTGTTCACTATTAAGTGCTTCACAGTACGCAGGAGGTGTCCTCGAGAAGGTAGAATTTTAACTGTGTCTTGAGGATGAATACAATTTAGGTAAGTTGCCAGGAGTTAGGAAAATCTATATTAGAATTATTTAAGTGGATAAGAGTAAAATTATCTAAGTGGATAAAAGTAATACTTATTCATTCATCACACTTGTCAAGTGGTTTTGCTTACATAAATGGGATCACACTGTGTTTCATATTGAACCACTTATCTTTTTCAGCAAATACTAAGTTTTTGAGATATGTGTTTATGTTACATCTGGTTGTCTCCTTTAAAACTTGTATGATACTCTTTTGTATACATAATTAATTTTAGATAATGGCAAAACATCAGATGTACCAATTTTAGGTAAAAAGCATCAGATGTTTTGCCATTACCAACAATACTGTAATAGACATTCTTACATGTATATCCATGTATAGAAACCCATAGGTAGAATGGGTGGTAAGGCATTTGTATCTTTAATTTTGCTAGATGCTGCCAGGTTGCTTTTCCAAATAGCTATACTAATTTAAAAGCCACAAGCCATGCATATTGTGTTCTCCTTTTCCTACACATCCCAATACTTGTACTGTAAGAGTTTTTAATCATCTGATGGATGAAAAGTGCTATCTTTGTTTAATTTATATTTTCTCAGTAACATAAAATAAGATTAAATGTCTGTCTAAACATTGATTGGCCATCCAGATTCTCACTCACCTCATCTTCAGTGTTTTATATAATGGGGTTTTGCACATAATTGCAAATTAGAAAAGGATTCCAGCATTTATAAACCATTGGCCTATTGTATATAAGGTATGTTTTAGAATACAGTGTTTCAGGAGTGGTATGGTTTATTAAAAAATATGTTTTATTTTTATTTTTTAAATGAAAGCACAGTGGAATAAGACAGGAGCATCCCTTGGGTTTGGACAGAGAATGCATCATGTTATGACAGGAGTGTGAGACATGATGTCAGGCTTTTTAGCAGGGAAGGGGGCAGGCCTCCACTTTAGACAAGGGAAGGAAATTTCCAGCTGAGAAACAAAACTCTACAGTTGATTAGGGAGATGATTGATGCCTTTGCACTTGGAAAATAAAGTGTAGCAAGAACTAGTCCAATAAAGGTCTTGTTTTCATCAAAGAAGGCTGAGATGCAGGCAGCCCAAACCTGAATGATCTATGGAGAGCAGTTATGCCAAAACCTAGAGGGTCTGTTTATGCCCCAGAACGTTGAGACAAGAGAATCAAGGAAGTAATTTTCATTTCACCACCTCATGATTTTTTTCTACAAACACCAACTGCCTTGTCCTAGGCAATGATATCCATGAATTCACATACTCAGTGTGCCTGTTATATTTGTCCTCACACACATAAAACAAAATCCAAAAATATTAATTCAATGAATTATCAGTATATTGTCTGAAAATTATTGTCTTCCATCAGAACGCTTGCTATACTCTGGTAAACACTGTCATAGAATGCTTTCATCCCTTCTAACTTGAGTAATGGTTATAGTGCTCTAGACACTAGTTCAAGAGAATGAATTGGATGGCTTCACAGGCCAATTTCTAAAGAAAACTGGACTGGGTGGCAACCATATTTATGAATAGGCACCCAAAATGTTGCAAGTTTTTCTCCTGATCCGAAGACCACAGATGACAGAGAAGTTCAAATGCTAGGCATGGTATATTAATGCGCAAAGGATAATGGCCTAAAGCCTTAGGAGCAAAACTGCATTATGCATAATTTTACCACATTCTCTTCCATTTAGTGAGCATATAAGAACTTATCTGAGTGTGACTGACATCATTATGGGGATCAAAACTGTTATAAAGCATATCATTTGAAAATATTTTATTTTATTAGTAGTAACAAATCACATGTGATATCTCTCAAGTATCACAGCATTATTTGGGGAGTAATCACTGCTCTGAATACTCTAAAATCTAACAATTAAGCCAGCTCAGCAGAGAGCAGGCTGCCTCACTGTGGCACATAAAGTGGTCAAGAGGAAGGACTTTGGAATTAGACTGCATGGTTTCTCCACTTCTTAGCAGCCGGAATGAAATTCTCAGAGGCGTTAGGTTCTTTATCTGTAAAATGAAACAATGTACATAAAGAAATCAGCAACTGGGTATGGTTTATAGTAGGTAGTTGGTAAAGTCACACTGTTATAGTGATAATTTCACCAGCATCCTCATCTAATAGGGTTGTCTTGAATGCTAAAAGAAACAGTGCTCACTGATGTTCTTAATATAGTACTTGTTACACAGTAAAGATCAGTAAATATTAAATGCTGCCTTAGCTATTGCTGACGTGTGGTGATGATTGCTGTTATTGCTGCTATTATTGCTTATTTGTAATGGCAGCAGGAGCTATTACAAGTAGCATTATCCTATCATGTTGCTTTTACTAAAACAATAGCAGCTTCCTATCACATTGTTTTTACTAAACTGTGAATGGCTATGATGTCCTCAAACTATATTGAGGAAAGTTAAAAAAAAAAAAGTCATATCCGTTATTCATATTATCTGTTGCATTGGTTTTCAAATAGTAATTCCAGCATCAGCATCATCCAAGAACTTGTTAGAAATGTACATTCTCAGGCCCTTCGCAGAACTACCGGACCAGAAATTCTACAAGTGGAGTCTAGCAATCAGTGTTTTAATGAGCTCAGCAGGTGATTCTGAGGTGCGCTAAAGTTTGATAACCACTTGTCTAGTGTAAGGATATTGTTACATTTTTAACATCTTCTTTTAAGGTACAATTCACCTACACTTACCAGACTGTAACATTTACCCACCATTTGAAGTGTATAATGTGGATTGGGGGTCATAAGCCCCTTCCCAGAGGGGGTCATGCTCTACACTCTTGGGAGAAAGGAATGCTACTATCATGAAAGCTTCCATAAAAATCCAAGAGAATTGTTAGGTTCAGAAAGCTTCCAGATAGCTGAACACACGGAAGCTCGTGGAGGGCAGTTCACCCAGGGAGCACAAGGAAGGTCCGCATCCCTTCCCCATACCTTGCCCTACACTTATCTTCATCTGTAGTATTTGTAATACCTTTATAATAAACTGGTAAACACATTCATTAAAGGATATAATGCAGTAGTTTTTAGTATATTGACACAGTTGTCCCTCTATCACTACAATAATTTTAGTACTTGCTCAGCACTCCTAAAAGAAACCCTGTTTCCATTACCAGTGTCTCCTCAAATGCCGTCCCTCCAGCCCTTGGGAACCACAGGGTTTGCCTGTTCTGGACATTTCATATAAAGAGATTTATATAATTTGTGATATTTTGTGAATGCTTTCTTTCATTTAGCTTCACATTTTCCAGGTGCATCCATGTGGTCACACATTTTTTTTCCCTCTGTAAAGTTCCCTCATTGTGAGTATCCTGTGCAGTCATTCTCAGAGCATTAACATTTGGCTAATGAGTGACTCCCTGCAACCAAACATGTGCATGTGTGCAGATGTGTTTGTCTGGGCTGGAGCGATGTGTGATTGTGTGTATATGTGGGTTTGAATTTTGATTTTGTAGTTTTCTTTTTGTAGAGAATACTAAAAAGCTCAGGGCGAATTTTGTGATTTATCTATTTCAAATGTATAGCATTTCTTTAATGGGCCTTCAGAGAGAGAGAAAGAGAGAGAGAGAGAGAGAGAGGGAGACAGAGACAGAGTGTGTGTGTGTGTGTGTCTGTGTGTGTGTGTGTGTGTGTGTGTGTGAGTATGTGCGTATGGTGGCCTCATTTTTAGCTCCATTTTATGACATTACCCTTGCACGTACTGTTTCTTTCTCACTTTCCTTCCTTATATCTTACTGAATTTGATGTATCCATATAAACTGCCTTAAATTCTTTTTGGAATAAGGCAGGGTATAAATACTCAAATAACAGTAAAATCACATAAACCATTCAGTATATCCTGTGCTCAAGACTCTTCCTAAATTTACTCTTAGCAACCTTCAGTACAAGCTGAAAATACTAAATTTTTCGAACTGCAGAATACCTGTTTTCTTACATCTGAATTTATGTGTTTTCAAAATGATGTCTGTCTTCTCAACTACTTGAGAAAATAATGCCATTATATTTATTATATGCTTTAGAGTTTTCAAATCACCTTGACTGTTCTTTTGTTTTTGAAAACAAAAATTTAATAGATGTCATCTTTTGTTCAGTTTTGTTTCATAATTTAATTTTACAACACAAATTCACAGAATTTTATAAACACTGAGTTTTATTTGATTTTGTAATAAAGATTTTTTCTATTGAAGAAAATAGACTAGAACAAAAGTGAGAAAAAGACATATTAGAGCTGTCAAGGGGCATTATTTTTGCCAGAAAAGAAGGGGAAAAATGCCTTCCACTTCACAAGAATGAGCCGATTTTACAGCAGCTGCTTTTGAAATAGATTTATTGAAAACTTTTGTGATCTGTAGTCTCCATTAAAAGAAAAACCACTTTTCATATAACAAAAGTCCCATATGCATAGGTTCAAGGTACATATTGTTAAGTATTACTTGGTCATAAAATTAAATGGCAACCCAGGCCACTGTGTTTACCTACCATGGGTTCAGCTTGACCACATGAGAAACATGTGGTTGACAGACTGTGGAAGCCCACATCCCAACAAGCATTTGATGAGTTTCATCTTTTTTTCCTCTGTGGTTTGACTACATACCAACCATTTTATTGTGTATGTTAATAACTTAAAAGCTGCTTAGGTATTATGTGGTTCCTGAACAGAGAATTAAGTTGATTTTTTTAATACACTGAATAATAAAAGATGTGATGTTTTGGAAGAAAACAGAGATCATGTGATTACATATAACTTTGCCTCCCAACAACTTTGTAGCAAGGATTTAGTCTTGAAGGTTGAATTATTATAGTACATAGACATTGTACATAATTAGAAATTAATTTTCAATCATGGGGCATAATTTGGGGTGGAAATAAGTCTATTTTCAGAAAATTATACATTTGATATTCACGTAGTCAGTTATAACCTTCCATTATGCAATCCTTAAAGTTTATAAATTAAAATTTCATCACAGAGGTTATGATTTCAGACCATAACAGAAAGTAGAAACTCTGTTGCATTTCTATTTATGGCAAGGTAAAAGAAAGTCACGTTTCTTTGCAGTCTGCTTTATATAGTTTTATCATAAATATGTATATGTGTTTTTTGCTATCTTCGCCCACATCCCCTGAATAACAAAAGTTCACTAATAACCTTGGTACAAGTGCTGAGATGAAAGGAAAATGAAAAATGCCCATTTTTAAAAAAGGCCTTAAGGATTTTAGGATGACAGCATACTAGTACTAGGGAAAATAAATTTGTATGTGTGTAATTTTAAAATTTTGAGCTCAATTTGAAAGTTAGTAGTTGCCCTTTGACTATCCATATCTCCAACTAAATGTTAAAATGGTATTAGCTTCCTTTGTCAGTATGCTTCTGAACATGTTCTCTCCTGGAGTTTGAAGTACTGGAAGCGCAATTTCAATGTAACTAATTTATCACAATCAAGGAGAAAACAAAGGAAGAGAGTCTTGGATGTATCTGGACTTGTGTGTGTGGAAAACTAGAAGAGAAAAATAAGCTTTTTAATTCATTTAGGATCTGACCAGGTAAAAGCATGTGTGAACTTCCCTCTAATTCTCATGGCTTGGAATTCTGGCCAGGGTGGATAGTATTGGGTCTGCAGACAGGTAGGGCAGTATCTTTCCTACAAAGGTACGCTTTCTGTCAGGCAGATCATCTGGACTATTTCTATCAGTAGCTAATAGAGAAAGTAGTCAGCACTCCTCATAGATATTGACTTTTAGGAAATGTTTGGCAATCTGATTATTTTTGCCATGTCCCTGCAAAAAATAAATGTTGAATCAGCGTTCTTATGTATAATACAAGGCTTTTGCATCTTTATCCTTATATAGCTTTATATCCCCATTGGTATCAATAAATCTGAATTCAAGGTTCAGCATTTCAACGTTAGACAAAAATTATATTGAAGTGCTTACAAAAGTATAGTTAACATATTTCCTCATTTCTCTCAGAATATGTACCTGAGGTCTATAGATACGTGTTTCTGTTGGATTAGTGTTGAAAGGCAAACTAGATATCTTCTGGTCCAAAACTTCACAATATCTTATGTTAAGGAGTACATTCATCTAACAAAGTAATTATTTTATAATCTGGATATTCTTAACTCTATACTATCCCTTCAATTGAGTTTTGTGGTAGATTTTTCAGCTGAAGACTCTGCACTTTGAACCTAATGTGAAAGCTCTATGATTCTCCCTGGTATGATGGTGTGATGGTGTGGTGCTGTGATGATGGTGTGGTGGTGTAATGATGTGATGATGGTGTGATGGTGTGGTGCTGTGATGGTGTGGTGCTGTGATGATGGTGTGGTGCTATGATGATGGTGTGGTAGTGTGATGATGGTGTGATGGTGTGGTACTGTGATGGTGTGGTGCTGTGATGATGATGTGGTGGCGTAATGATGTGATGATGGTATGGTGGTGGTGTGATGGTGGGCAAGAGTAGAAAGACTGAATGCATAGGATGTTCCCTTTATGCACCTGAACTGATTCCAGTGCCAGAAGATATGATTCTCTGAGCAACAGCGATAATTTATATAGCATTACTAGAGAAAGGTTAGATCTCTGTGTTTGAGGAAAGTGTAACTAAAGCAACTTCAGAGAATCACTTTTGTTTGACAAAATGAATTTGGCATACTTGCAAGACTTGTGATTCAAATGGAGAAGTAAATTGGAATGATTTTTTTCCTATTACTTTTTTCCTTGCTTTGGAGGCCAAAGTTACAGACAGTAAATGCCCTCTCTCTCTCTCTGTGTGTGTGTGTGTGTGTGTGTGTGTGTGTGTGTGTGTGTGTATATATATATGTGTGTGTGTGTGTGTGTGTGTATGTGTGTATGTACATATATATGTACATATATACATTTATATGACATTTTATATATCATACTATATATTGTATTTAGTACATAAAATATATAAAAATTATTTAAATGCTCTTTTTGCTTAAAGCTAATTTGATCATGCTTATAAACTGTTTTAATTCAAATGACCCAATCGTTGTGACTTTTGAGATATATGTGTATTCTTATGCTATCTCTTCAGCCACTAAATTTAATATTTTTTAATTCCAACATTTGTGTATCTCATTAAAATAAGACAAATTGAGAAAAGAATAGCTATAAATTAACTTTCCCCAAATATGTCAGACTATATACTTTGCTCTTTATTTTCATAGGGTAGTAAAACGTCACAAGTTTTTGGTAACAGAATAAAATGTCTATTCACACATTAATTGTTACTCTCTTAAAAGTCAATTTTCAAACTCCTTCCGTTTACATGTACTTGTAACTTTTCTTTGCTAATGGTATTTTAAGACTGCAGCATTTGGAAAGGACCTTAGAGATTACTTGGTCACCCTGCCAAGTAAGGCAGGGATTCTTTTTACAACATCCCTGACAGATT